ATATCTTTATATTATTGGCCACAATAAGCCAATACTTCATTTATTGACATAAAATGAGTTGAAATTGTTTCATTTAGCATGTCTATTGTTTTACTACATATTCACTTAGCCTCCATAAAGTAGTACTTTCGTAATTTTATTTGAGGCTCTCTTGGTCGACTAGGAATGGCGTTCTCGTTTAAGTCTGACAGGTACATATACCCGACTTCATATTTGGCTGGCGGTGAGCTACCGCAAACATATGTAGTGTCGTACCATGCTATGTACATAGGTTCAGAATGCTTTCCTCGAAGCGGAGTATTATTAGAACTTGCTTATTGCTTTACCATGTTGCTCACCAATGCGTAATGTAATATCTGTTCTATTGCCAAATCTTATTGTCTTACATGAACGTTAATTTTGCTATATATATAGTATATAATTAAGTATTTCAATTCTATATCTATGCTTTTAGTAACAGAGAAAACTTTCCAGCCAATATGGAGAAAGTAATTTTTTACTTTTAACTTTCGAAAGTATCAACAGTGCAATTAGATTTATTGTGAATGGATTATTAATAAGAAGATGCATATAATTTTCATATTGTTGATAGATTGATTTAGGCCGAGTAGAAATTTTGTTTGGAAAATAAGTGGAACCAATTAATTTCATAAATAAAATAAGTTTAAAAGAACAATGCGAGAAACATTGCATGTTTGTGGTAAAATATTAACGACGGATGATTACCACTTTTTTGCTCTTTGCTGTGAAAAATGTGATGCATCCTTCGGTCAGTGGTCAGGATTTCTGAAACATTTGAGCAATAAACATGATCTTGATTTGCCGCTAATCAACACATTTATAAGGGAGGATGAGCAAAATCCAGAATGTGATGAAATATCTATTAAAGCGACTTTGAAACAAGAAATGGAAAATGAGCTAAATAAACAAATAAAAGTTGATGCCGCAGAATATGAAAGTAATGGGGATTTTAGCGACAGTGAACCCGAAGATAATGCGAAAAAAGTTGAGTCCAATGATGACGGTCAGGACAATGATTGTATTAGCACTAAATCGAATGAGTCGACAGGTGCTTGGAATATGGCGGAGGACAATAACCATTTGGTTTGTTAACAAACAAAAATCTCTTAACTACTCACTAATTTCAATTGTTTTTCAACAGAACACATCTAGTGAAGGGGAACTATTCCAAGATTCTAAGAAAAAGCTTAAAGCGGTATTTATAAACATATAGCTAAACGAGAATTTCAATTAGATTAAAAAATTTACATTGCAGTTTAATTTTAATATCCACGAAACGTATACTCGGGATATATCGAATAAATTTCTTAAAATAATTGAAAAATATCCAATTTTATGGAATCAACAGCATTCGAATTATTGGTTGCCTGAAAAACGCACCCGTGTACTCTATTCGATTAAAGAATATATGGCCAAAGTGGGTTACACAGTTAGTGATTATGGATTGCGCAGCATAATTCAACGCATATTACGCGATCATAAAGCTTATAAGCAAGAACTTGCGGTTTGTGGACGCTTAGATGAACCTAAAACGTTGTTTTTAAAAAAATGTAAATTTTTGGAGGGCCCACAGAATGGTGGGGCTATTGCAAACGAAGCTGAAAACTATTCGGATGTTGTAAATTGTTTACAATTTGTTACGGTTTTTTATGAAGTACTCAATCTATTAATTTTTACATGTAGGATGACCATCCGATTCATGATGACTTAGATGATGATGAATTTCTTTTGAGCTCCGATATCGAATCAAATGCTGGAAACAATCCCTCTGAAATAAATGCATTTTTAAAAGATTCGGTATGCCATTGGTTAAATTTTATTTTCATTTGTGTATTATTTATTATAATTGCAATTTTGTCCTAACACAGCGTGATGGTAAAAGAATCTGTTTTAATATGACTGTAAATCCGCTTATTGATGAGTTCGTCAGTTTGCTGCGTGACAATCCAGTTTTATGGGAAGTGGGCCAATTTCAAAATTTAACCGAGCGTAAACGCATTTTGGAATCATGGATACCTATTTTTCAGGACCGTCATAATGTCATCTTTACTTATAAAGATCTTACGTTGAACTTAAAGATCTTACGCAGGACACTAACAAACATGGAAGAACGGAAAGTATTGGCTAAATCTGCGCAACATCTGAAGGATATCTGCAGTTTTCTGCCTAAAGCCAAACCAATTACACGTCTCAAATGTGAAGAATGTAATCGTAATTTTCTCACAGAATACACCTTGCAAGCTCATAGGTATGCCGCACATAATATTGGCACCAATCCTTTCAAATGTGAGGTGTGTGGCCGTGATTTTCAAGCACACAATCAGTTAGATACACATTTGCGTCGAGTACATCTCAAACAGTTTTCCGTTTATTGTGATGTCTGCAATCGTGGTTTCTTGCAGCATAGTGCAATGGTGCTACATCGTCAAACCCACACAGGTGAGAAAATGTTCGTATGCGAAACATGTGGTAAATCATTTAGGCGAAAGATTAATATGCAACAACATTATATGCGTATACATTTGCGTCAGCGGAATTTCAATTGTGAACTGTGCCCGAAAACATTTTATTTAAAATGCCATCTACGCGATCACATGAATGCTCATCTAAACATCCGTAATCATATTTGCCCCACCTGTGGCAAAGCTTTCCACAGTAGTCATGCATTAATGCGCCATAAGCAAATACATTCGGAGGTTAAGCGTTATGCTTGCAAGCTTTGTGATGCACGTTTCCATCAGTTTGTGGGTCTGAATTCACATATGAAGAATAAACATAAATTTGTAAATGATAAGGACGAAGAAGTGCAAACTCAGCCTGTGGTTCATATGACAACGCTGCCTGCCAATACAACGCCAGATACTTCCATGCAAATCAAAGGTGAAGTTGTGCAGTCTTTGGATAGTTGGAATATGTAAATATAAAAAATAAATTTAAGATACGTTTAGTGCTTTCTTGTCGGTTCTTTTTGCCATTTTAGCAAATGGATTTATATTTGTCTCTAATGCAAAATATTTTGTGTGAAAATGAATCGTCTGATGTAAACGACCGAGAAAGTTGAAGACATTCAGTGAATAATAAACCAAAGTAGTTTTAAATGCCATTAAACCCACATTTTCCAATGATTTAAACCGTAGAATAAAATATGTAGTTAGTTTTTATTAATGTAATTAATTATTATTTTGTAATATGATTATCATATCAATTGGAAGCGAAAAGATTTTAACTAACTTCCTAATTGTGCAGAGTATTTCGCTATGGAAGTTAAACTATCAATATACATACATATGTTATCTTATAATGTTTCAATTAAACTTAGAGATGTTACCATTCTTTTTCGCTTCTTACTTTGACAAGTCGAAGGTTTAAATATATTTTAAATACACAAAATTAGAGCAAAATATTTACGAGTAAGCTTTTTTGAAATCAAGTCTTCACAAATACTTTTAATTATATAGTACATAAATTTAAAATAAAAATGTTTAATAAATCATAACAGCATATTCTGTTAAAAAGTGTGGTATAATAGAATAAGATTTTAATTTAAAATAATAATTTTGAGCGAAGTATAATTTATTTTTGCCCAAAAGTGGGATGTGCTTTGGTGATTAAGTCGGCTAAAGTCGAAGTCAAAATTTTGTTATTTATACTTACCATTACCATTACCGTGATTCTTTATTCCAGTATAAGAGTATACGTGTTTTCTTACATACATATGTACAGTATATACAATTTTTAAGTGTCAAGTATGAAACTAAACATATGAACCCACGGAATTCAATTGGCATTCCTTAGCTTCGGGCCAAACATCAAAAACATCCAAACATCTTGACACAATAGTAAAAAGCCATATTATTATACATACTATACATACAAGTATGTATAACGTCAGATGAAATAAAAGCAAATGTGTGCTTCTCTACCATTTTATTGGGTATTCAGGTCCATATAATTATATCTATTTTAGTTTCATTGCATTTCAATTCTATTTATGATTTTCCCCATATCCCGCGCTTTTACGCATCAACCTACCAGCAATGTTTCTTCATCGGGAAATTCATAATTGGGCACTGCCAAATTGAGCGGGGCAGGTCCTTTACGTACACGTCCCGACGCATCGAAATGTGAGCCATGACATGGGCAGTAGTAACCGCCGAAATCACCAGCATTGGCAATTGGCACACAACCCAAATGTGTGCAGACACCGATTACCACCAACCAACGCGGATCTTTGACACGTTTGTCATCCGATTCTGGGTCGCGTAAAGTCGATATATTCACTGAACGCACACCTTCGATTTCAGCTTCCGTACGATGCCGTATGAATAACGGTTTGCCACGCCATTTGAATGTCACTGACTTGCCCTCGGGTATGTCTTTCAATTTGATCTCAATCTTTGCCATAGCCAACACATCGGCGGTTGCGCTCATTGAGCGGACGAAGGCGTGTACCAAACCTTTGGCTGCATAGCAACTGCCAATGGCGCCGGCCGCAACGATCGCATATGAAAAGGTTTTTCGCTGTTCAGCACAATTATCTTTTGGGTCATCCGGGTTTTCCGTTTGCCGACGATAGTCTGAGAAATCCGGTACCTTCATGTCATTATGAAAGTTGCGCAGTTGTAACGTGAGCGATGACAAATTCTGATTAACGAATACGAGTGGCACTAAAAAATGTCTGCAATTCCTGACGAGGAGAGTCGAAGGTGGGCAAGCTGCCACGATCTTTCTCAAGGGGGAATCGAGATTGGCAAAGTTCCTATTGCGACGTATCATGTACAGGAATGCATTGCGCCGAGGCAAAAGCACATTCAGAATTGTTGTTCTAAGAGCACTACAAAACCCGTTAAACATATTGAGGAAATTGTATGAATTTTTTTATTTAATTTAAATTAAATTGTGAAAATTTTGTCTTTTTTAAATGACGAAAAGGGAAGAGAAGTACTACTCATTTTCAAACTCAAAATTAATTTTTTAAATATCAACTACTATAGTTACGTATATTAATCGAATTTTTCGATAACGTGTACATTTGTTAAGTTAGCATGATTTTAAAAAATCATCCAGTGATAATAACTAATTACTTGAACTGCTTTGTCATGCCCACTGCTTTGTCATTCCGCATACAAAATCTGCGGTTGGACATTAAACACCTTTCCTTGCTCGTTCGAAATACATTCTAAATTTTCCAATAATACTTCCGAAACTGGCTTTCGAACATTTTTCGCTAGACTTTTATGTCTTAATTAATACCATTACATCCACCTTTCTCATTTTCAACCGCACAGAAACTGAAGAGGAATAGAAATATCAATCAGTAGGAGACACCACTTCGTTCTGGTATAATGCTTATATATATTCATATATGTATATGTATATATATAGTTGATATCTTCAATATTTGCGCAATTACATGGAAAGTAGTGGGCAAGTTACATTTAAACCTCCAAATAAATTTTCCAAAACACAATTCATAAAATTGTGTAACTCCTTCCGGAAACCTTTTAAATCTCGGGTCAAGAATTCCATATCAAATTAATATACATATATATACATGAGATGTTTTACATTTATTTAGAATACATAGAAAGCATAAGTAAATCATTTTTATTTCAACACGTTTATGAGCATTAAAGTAACGCTAAACACAAGTCCATACAATCATTATTACATAATAACATTCTCATACACACATGAGCACAGTTGTTTTTGTACATATTCGTATAAATGCTTCATCTATTTATCCGGCTCGTCTGAAAGCCAAAATGTTTCCATTTCACCTTTACCTTTGACCTTTACATAACCACGCGATTCGATTTTATAGCCCGCCTCACGCAATTTCATCGCAGTATAATTCGATAATTGTATCTTATATGGGTCGCTGCTACTTTCCATGCGCGACGCTGTGTTCACTGTGTCACCAAAGAGACAATACCGTGGCACTTTCAAACCCACAACACCAGCTACCACAGGTCCCGAATTTATACCCAATCTGATAGCAAGGTCCGGTATCTTTAAGGCCTTCACTTTCTTCACTACACGCAAAGCGAAATCGCCAGCATGTTGAGCATGCAGAGGATTTATATCGGGCGCTCCTGAAACGGCCATATAAACCATACCAACTGTCTCCACTTTATACACCAAGGGTGATGTTATCTCTTCATCAAATGCCGAGAATACCGTATTCAGTGTGGTCACTGCGGTCATGGCATCACGTATGTCATTCGTATCGCCAGCGTAAATATTCATCACTTCTATAAATATAACGGAGACCTCCTCAAAAGACTGGCATATTGTCTCCTCACCATTACGCATACGTTCGGCGATGGTACGCGGTATCATTGAGTAAAGGAGCTCATCACCTTGCCGCTTCCATGAATCGGCCAGTTCTAATGATTTCTCCAACTCATCGGAACGTTGCTCCTCCTTTTCGAACATAATTTCCAATTTAGAGCAATGCTGCCAGCCAGCCATTACCAGTTCACGACTCAAGCCATGTGGATTCAAGTCATTTAAGAATAGACCAATTCCATGCAATTCATCTAAATTTTCAATGAGCGGACTGCAGAGATAAATTAGTGAGTCAATATCTTTTAGATGAAACATTTGACCTTTCAACAAAATCGCCTTGTTTCCATGGGAAATCTTTCGTCTACCGGTAAGCGGATCGATTTCTTCCTTCTGATCGACATTTAACAGATTTTCCTCACTGCTATTTAATACTTCCCTCACCTCGTCTTCGAGATTGTGATCCATTAGTGCATCGTAGGCTGCCTGATTGCGACCCGTACGCAATAGTTCGAATTCGAAGAGTACTGAATGCATTTGTATAATTTGATCCCAAGTTATTTTGATGTCTTTTGGACGGCGACACTTGAATATATCCATAAGATGCGAACCCATAAAATTTTGTGGATTCTTACCCTGATTATGTAGTATCCAAGTATCAACGATTTTTTCACCAGCCGAGGTAATCACCATATTGCGATTGAGTAACACCGTGAAGGGAAAGAGATCAAGAAATACATCAATATTGATTTTCGGTAAAATCTGTTGCGTGGGATGTGCCACAACGTTCACACGCTTTGCCATATATTCGCGATTGTCAAAGTCCAACCGATATTTGACAATTACCGTTAACGGTTCGTGGCTCAATTTGATAGGACCAGCTATGCCTCCATTTATATCATTTTGACTCTCAATTACTGAACATTTTACATTTAAATTGTAAAACTCACGTCCTACCTGCGTCAACTGGCCCATTAAATATTTGGAAAACCCAGTGCGACCACTACGATAAACCATTACGGCGCCATTATCATCCACCTCAATGAGCTGCATGGAAGGACTTTTCATTTTCGGATAGGTGAAACGCATCTGCAAGTGAATATTATCGATGGACTGTAGAAAATCACAAAAATAACGTCCCGTCGCACGTATCATCTTATCATAGCCGAAATTGCTGAAAAACCGCACGAAGCAATTGCCAAAAAATGACATACACCAATCGAAAGACTTGCCCGTAATTGCCGACAATGCGGCCGCTATATCGGGCATTAATCCGTCGGGATAGATCTGATGGGTCTTGAATGTATTGTGACGACAGTCGATTATTTGGCATACTTGACGCCAAACTTCTTCACCGAACTCCTCTTGAATGAAATGTTGGACGGACTCTAAAACCATGCCATACATGATTGCGGCAGATTATTGTACTATTAAAAAGTAAGATTTTATATATTTGTTTGTAGTTATAACTAACAGCAGTCCTTGAGCTCTGAGATCAGTTTTCCCGTTATGGGCGTAAATATTTTAAATAAATGCAGTTATGCGTTAGTTGAGATACTTGTTGGTTTTTGTATGCTTAAAAACGGCTAGTGCTAAACTTTTATTGGAAACTGTAGATTTGATTGTCCGTGTGTGTTTTTTCCAACGACTTATGCTTTTCTTTTCTTTTAAAGTTTATAAAGCTTTCTTTCACTTTTTTCTTTTTAATTTTTGTTGAATTTCTAAAAATATTTTCATATACAATTAAATTAAAAAAATCATATTGAATATGCTCAAATAAATAATAATCGGTTACTTTCTTAATTTTTGCAAATTTTGAACTTTACTATAACTTTTCATTAATCCTAGATTTATTATTTGAATATAATCATTTATTTTCTTACTTTGAAATTTTAATATGTTTTTCCAATTTTGAGTTTCTTCAACCTTATGTTATTTAAATTTTTCCATTGATTTTTTAAAGTGTAAAAAATGATTTTTCTGCACTGTCTCCGTTTCAATAATCAAATTTTAAATTTATCTCATGCGATTTATCCATTGCGATATATTTTATGCCCATATGTCGATATACATACATATGTATGTATGTCTGTGGCTTTGTTGACTCTTTTTTGCACAGCTTAAGAATTTATCACTTGTGCCAGTAATATGCGTTTAAGACACATTACAAATGCTTGGTATGCCACTCACAATTCTAGCGGTAATCAAGTATGCGGTTCTGTACACAAATAAATAAATCCTCTTAAGTGCGCTGTTTCCTTCAGCTCTTTTTTGCTGCTGCTGCTGTCGCTGCTGTTTATGTCACTGATTTATTGCAAATTCCAGGCGCGTGCCTAGTGAAGTTCTCTCAGCTTGTGGGTGGTGGTTTACAGGTGGCTGTGCCCTCCCAAATAATTTTTGCGGACAATTTGTGACAATCCGGCTTTTCTTCTAATACGTGGATTCGCAATTTTTTGGTAATCCACAATGAAGTAAATTTATGCGATAAATTTTCTTTACTTAGATATTTATATATTTATTTCTTTTTTTTTCCTATATTAAATTTGTATAACACTCCATTATTAACATAGTTCATTCTTGTTGTAAAGTAGCTAAAAATTTGCTGGGATTTATGTTTTAGCTGATTTTTTTACTATGCCTCTTTTCAGTTCATTAAATCACTTACGTTCTCAATCGAGTGTCTATTAAATTCACGTGAATTTGGGTTCTCTTTTGTGTGTTGACGCCAAATTCTTTGGTAAGAAAACTTTCGCTTTCGGAAATGCATTCGCACACATAAATTCTCCGCACTGTTATCGTTTGCTTCCGCAATTCTCTTCTCGCTCTTCACTTTCCGGCACCCAACGCACCAACACAATCTACCCTCGCAAAGTATTCTCCTCTCCCTTGGCCACGCTGTTGCTACAATTTGAAATGCTGCTGTGCCTCTTGCGGATGCTCTGCTAATACTGAGCGCTACCGCCAGCTGACTGTTGGCTAAGTACATAAATTAGAGCGCTGTGACCAACCTACTGTTTATATACTCTTACATATGTATGTATGTATATTTCAGTATAATATATACTCAAAAAGTATCCGTCAACTTATTTCGCACCATTAGTCAACCGTCCTTTCGAATCGCGCCCTGACGTTGTGTCACTTGCGCATACACAATTTAGTAAAAATAAACTTTCGTACATACATATGTATGTACATATATGACATGTCTTTCGGTTTCAGTTTTGTTTTTGTTACTCAACTTTTGATTAGTTCCCCATCATATTCGGTGCTTTTGTTGCTTTTGTATTTTTTTTTATCAATATATTGTGGAAATGTGTTAAAGCTATTTTCTCTGCATTAATTTAGCTAAGCTTATGTTTTTATAGTTGTTTCAGCAGTTGTGATTCACATTACTTTTGTTTCACGCTCGTAATTAATGTTGCCTTGCAAATAGCAGAAGAACTTACGCGAGTCTCGCTTCTTCACTTCCAAATGCGGTCCGCTGTTATTCTGTTGTGGCTTTTATAGCAGCCATGACCGCAATCAATTACCAATTCTTTCTTTGGCGATAATCGAAGCTCATGTTGCAAAGTGTCCTTTGGCACAGTGTTGGCGTAAATAAGGATTTGCTGGAGGGTTGTGGCCCTCTAGTTTTAAGTGAAAGTAAACCCCTTCAGCCTCTCAATATAATAAAAGAATCAATGAATTGTCTACAGATAGGTGGTCACATGATCAACTTGCTCGGCTAACACCTAACTGCAAATACATTGTCCAAATTTTGATGCATAATTCATTAATTATTTCCCATTAAATTAATGGAAATGTATTACTCTTTAAAAAACCAAGTTTCATACTGAGAAACCAGCAAATAATATATAACATATTTAGTTTTTAACCCTCCTCACAAGAAATCTACACAGTTTACAGTAACATTTATATATTTCTCGATACAAACATACAAACTGGTAAATATGTACTTGTCATCTTGTAAAAACGTCTGCTAAAGGAAAGCAGGAGCTCATTGAGCGAAGGAAATTGCTTGAGGATCTATGTACATACACTGTGCAGGCTTAACATACACGCAAATGTACAAATTGTCATCAATTATATACAATATATAAATATGTACATTAGGGTAGTGTAAGTAGGGTACTTACAACTAATGCTGACTATGTCTCTTTGGAAGACATTCTTTTTTGCCTTCAATAACTTCATACACTAACCATTACGTCGATGGCATAGAAATTGGTCAAAGTTTATCAGGGCTTTAATAAAAAAATGAAAACAAAATAAAATATGTATGAATTAAACTTAGCTGCCAAACGTTAGGACGTTTAGCCTTTGAGAGAGTCTTAACCTAATGCAAATACTACATATAAATATAAGCATAGTATATTAACCAAAGGGTCCTACCAAATAAAACCCTTTTTATTGCAAAAGGATACAATCCGCATAAATGGCCTTTGTTTCGATAAAATATATAGACGCATACATTTCAATGTATACCATATACTCCCATATTCGTGGTCGTAAAATGTTGTATACCAAGTATATACAAATATACACGTTAAGCATACAAGAGTACATATTTACTATATATTATACTCGTATAAATTGCGGTGTCAGTTTTGTCACTATCATAGCTGCCAGTTGCGTGCCATTACAACGCTTCCCGCTCAATTTACACGCTGCTGTGTCAGTCACTCATCGTTTAAGAACATTATACACTTAGAAGGATTGCCACTTCAATTACTTACACTCATTGTCGCAACTAATCTTGAATGTGCTTAGGACGCTAAACTATTTACCTAACAATATGTACATAACTACTAGTATGTACCTTTTATACAGATATACCTGGAACATATTTCCATTTCTTAGCTTAGTGAGTTGACAAGAAAAATCCACCGAGTACTTGGAGAGCTAGGTAAGAAATTGTGGAGTTCGAGTAGGTGCCAAAAGTAATGTGGTATTTGGAGCATATAAAGACTTTTTGGTTCGTCACTTAGCTTATACTAGCTCTGTTTAAAATAGTTGTCCATCAGAGTTCAAGAAAGTAGTAGCAATATTCGTTGATATCTCACTATGATAATATAAACGACTGCTATTTCCGCATTTGAATAGGTCAGTATAAATAATTCATACCAGTTGTTCGATTCGCTCTCTATAGCAAGAATTTCACGTCAAAATATTCATTAGTATTTGAGATACGCGTCGTTTCGTGAGGCTCTAAAAGTGAATTCTTCGATTTTTACTATGTCTGAATTTATTGAACAAAGAAATGCGATAATGCACCATCTCATACTGCATTGGTTATTCGTGATAATTTCGCCACATTTTCAACTAATATCGTGATGCAATCACCGCATTCGCCTGATTTACCTTCGTGTAACTTCTGGCTATTCAGCAAATTCACATTACCATTCCGAGGACACCGTTTTAACCAAATTGAAGATATAAATTCACCTTTCAATATGATCACAGCAGTGCCTGTAAAGTGTCACTTGGTAAAGGCAAATAAAATAAAATGAATTATTTGACATTTATATATGTGTAGTAAATAAATGATGAAAAGGGGAAAATTTTAATAAACTTGTAAGTCACGATAGCCTAATATTTCAACTTGATGTACATTTCCATGAAATATATATTTATATCATATATTAAAATAATTTACTGTCAATGGCAAGTTCATTTCTTCTGGTAAAAAATTTAAGCCCAGATATAAACTCAAAAACTGCAACTACAAGTTTTGCGGTAACTTCATTCAGCTACCTGGAGCTATAGAGTGTTATTAGATGGCTACAATTTCCGCCTTATCGCTTTTAAAACTAACCTTTCATACGACTACAATTGTTTACTATATACCTGAATTTTTAATGGTCTCATTGTTTAATCAAGCCTTTTCAGCTTCAGTACCGTGTACTGTAACTTCCGTGCAGAGTGAAACTACGATTTATTTGAGACAGTTTGGTGATTCAGCTCGGTATGTCGCTCTCGCCGATATTATTTTGTCGTTAGGTTCTAAACGATATTGAAGTCAATAAATCATCGTCATTATTTCTATTTGATATCGAACAAGCTTTAAAATTAAATTACACAATCGGTAGCGGTACTTAATTCAAGTGACAGTGAACCCGATCCACACGGCGTATGAGTTATGTTTACACGATTTCACTTATGATTTTGCGGGTGTTTGTGTACGTATTTACATACATATATGCGAATTGGCACATCTTTTTTAAATATCTGTGTATGTATGGACGTGCTGTAATTGAAGTGAAAATTGCTAATACTTAATCATTTACTATAATTATACTATACTTTAAAGAAATTAGTTTGCATTTGTATTCAAAATCGAACAAATTTCATAGTAACTGCTGTATCTTCTCTATATATAATATGTAAATAATGCCTATGCTGTCGTGGGTTTATATTTATATTTATCACAATTGGGTTGACATTTTGGTCATGGGGATGGTACTCGCAAATTGATGTTCGCATGCAAAAACTCTGTTTGTATATAAGTATTTAATGTGTGCAGTTTAGCAGATACAATTTATGTCATAGATATGTTTGTCAAGGATTATATAAATATGAATGTACATAAAAGCCCCGACAGGAACTTGTTCTCCCGGCATACCTAGTTTGTATGTAGTTTGTTTTATTTATTTATTTTTTTTAATTGCTTTCTACCTTTTCTTCATTGTATGTGCTCTTTTACAACTTTGTAAACCTATCATATAACCTATCGTATACATATACTCATATATAATTATATCTTATTGCCTAATTATTAATATTACTTAAACTAATCACGCTTAGCTTGAAACCCAAATTACAACCCTCGAAATAGCTATTTATGAAGCTGTAGAACTTTCAAAACAACACAGTATGCACGCACGAAGAAAGTAAAAAAAGTTTAGGTATTTCGTAATTTTGCGCTTTCGTAGCTTTACGCTTTTCAACAGGGTATGCCTAGGAATCGTCGCAAGTACTCTTGGATAGGTACTAATACATTAATATATTTGAAATGCACATACTTACCAATGCCTATGTAACTTTTGGTCGACTGTTTTGGTATATACAATAGTTACATAAGTTATGAAACAAAAAGTTAATCCAAAGTACCACAAACACTTAATTAGTCGATTGCAATTGGCAGGGGTTCTTATAGTCATTTGTTATTGGACAAAAAATTTATGTAACTGTTTCAAGTAGCGTCATAGACAAGTTTTAATGAAAATATTTAAGGTGCAGAGCACTTTTGACAAACAAAATAAAATATTTTGATATCTAAATTTTTTTTTTTTGCATATTTTAACTACTAAAAAGTATAAAGGTAATAATTTAAAAAATCAAAARAAAATTAAAACACAGTTGGTTCAATATTTGCATACATGGCGTATGACTAACATTTGACATACATATGCATGTATGTGTATGTGTTGAATGGTGGGTAGGATTATGAATGAAAGTCTTAAAGAATTAATATTATAAACACATTTTATGTTTTTTTTTAAGCACTGTCAGTTTTCCTCTTTAGAATTCATGCAGCACAAAAATAGGAACGGCATGGATAATATAGTTTTTTTATTTATTAATCTAATTCGGTCTGCAAAAAGTATACATTGCTCCATGTCATCCCAAAGGGGAGCGGTGGGTTTACAAGTTTTATCCCACTGGTTCCTATGAACTACCCAAGAGCTGCGAACAAATTTATTTTATACGCGGATGGTTCTGGAATGACAAGTTATGTTGCTTTAAAAGTGCTATATGTATGTGTGCATATTAAAGAGCATTGAAAAATGTAAGTCAACTTGTGGAAAACGTGTGTGAAAGGCCTTAGATTAATCGAATAGGGAGCTTATATATGATGCATGATATCCATTTTAGCAATAGGTGACTTACAGGATATACATATGTACATATGTATGTATAGACATGTATGATGAGTATCTCTATTTTGTAGATTGTAGGGCAATAGGGATAGGATGTATACATATGTACACACACACGTGTGGTATTCAATGACTAATAAATTCACTTTTATTCATGTTTGGAGGAAAATAATCTTACCTTTCATTTCTTTTATAATTGAAATTAAAAAAGTAAAGTGATTAGTTATAAGAATTTAAATATGAACTTCAAGTTAGAAGATATGTAATTGAAAGAAAAATGCCTGGACAAAATAATAAGTAGTTCATCAGGTATCTGAGACTAAAAATGTATTAGTTTCAGTTTTCTGAGCCCTATTTTTTGCTTACTTCTTTCATCAGTATATATGTAGTATGTATATCAGCCATTATTTTCAATTACTTTTAAAATTCGTTTTGGAATGCAGGAAATAAGTTCGCGGCAAGTATGAATTGAAATCTCATACCAGGTTTTTTTGGACAAAATTCCATAAATTGTCTTTATTTTGGAATGATTGTTTCCCAATCCATTGCTCCAGCTCCCCCCAAAGGTTTTCAACTGAATTCAAATCGGGGGACTGACCGCCAATTAAGAAAAGACACATCTTTGTTTGAGCCGATTTTCTACTTTCACCATAAAATATATTGCCATATTGAATTTATAAAATCTGACCCAGATTTGTATTCGTTTGCTTCACCAAACATTAAAAATTTAACCACGATTGCATGTTGCATGGAATGTACTTATTATTTTGACCATTTACTTATGTACATATGTTTTCTGAGCTGACGAGACTATAAATTTGGTTATATGAATATGATTCAGAAAATTCGACATTATGATATTCGTCAATATAAAAATTTGTAAAAAAAAATATGTATTTCATTCCATTTATTTTGTTATTGTAGTTTGAAAATTACTGTTAACAAATTATTCATTAGTGGTTCCTCAAACTTATTTCCCCAAGTCCAACTTTGTTAAACAATTTGTCCTTAGCAATTTGTGCCATTAAACCATGAATTAGCTCTATAGATGCGCGACTGCAATCACGAGTGGCCTTCGATAGTTTATCCTCCGTACGCTTTTCGCTGCCTTCAGCGCCTTTAGCAAAAAAAAAATACATAAAATTAGTATTTCTTAAGTATTATAGTAACTTTCTTCTTCAAACCTGTAACTACAAATGGTCCACGCACCAAACTCGATTCGCTCTGTTCAAGCTTTTCTGACAAATCGAAAATTTGTCCAGTTGTATAATCAGTATTGGTAAGTAAGCCCGAACTACCCAGTGTGTTCACCCAATATTTGTTCCATAACGAATCTAATAGCTTTCTATCTAAAGCGGACTTGAAATAAGTCACTTCAAGTGGATAATATTGTTTACAATGTACGCCGAAATCGTCAATCTTATTTAAAGGTATGGTCTGATATTCAGAAGGTTCTTCATTCGGTGGCTTATACCCCTTTGGATACGTACGAAACGCTCCCAAGCAAACTTTGCCTGCCGACACTGTGCGTACTGGATCTACTACAATCGCAACAAATGGTTCTTGATAATTCTGATTAAGCATTTGTGTTGATACATCAATTCCAGATAACCAACATCCATATCCGGGATGACTATGATACCAGCCAATTGCATTTTCCAATCGACCTACTTCTTTGGCTGCAACAATATAAGCAGACATATACTCATAAGCCTGAGATTGGGCATTAACACGAGTCTCAGTGCCTTCAACTGGCAAGGCAAAAGCATCCATGACAATCATTGTATTATCCTCAACTTTTCCAAGAAGCAGACCCATAATCTCTAGTGTACCACCTGAACGGGCATGCATTACCATCTTTAGCAAGGACAAAGCCGAAATCTTTATGTCCTTAAAATAATGTGGATCCTTTTCCCATGGTTTCGCATCGAGAATTTGTCGTTGCTGTTCAGCATCATAACGAAAAATTTCATCGCATGCCGGCAAAGTTTTTATATTGTTTTCCAGCTCCCAAGTTTTACGTGAAGTCTCTGCATCCATATTTGCTTTCTTAATATTATATTTTATAACGCAAGTTTTCACAGTTTTCGTACAAATCGCCGGAACAAAGAATAAACAAAATTCATATGTCAGCTGTAAATTAGATACCTCAAAGTTATGTTCTGAAAATAATGTCATACAAAAAGAAAAACTTTCCGATGGCGCTGTTAACAGTTAATATTTTCGTTGTTGGGACAATACGGAAGAAAGCAAAATGGATAATACAGAATTGGTAATAGCTATGTTCGCTGGTTTATTTTATATTGAATACTCTATAATTAGTAATATTAAAAAATAAAATATAGAACAGTAGCAATAATTAGTAAAATTGTCCATTATAATATAGAAATACATTTATAAATTGTTGTTTATACAATAGTATAATATATATAATATAGTAAAATAATATTTTTCGTAAGACACTGAATCATATTCGAAAAAATACACCTGTATATATACAATATAATACGCTTGTATAAAAATGGAATAATAAAAGTCAACGAGCATGCTACTGCTTAACAAAAGAGCTCGTATTTCAATTTTATGTGAAAATTTTGAGAAAAAAATTAGACCTGATGTAAGTCGATATAATAAAAACAAACAGACCTGCCTACAGAGTTGATATTCATTGTATCAAGATGTCGGTTAAAAAAAATTCAAATAAACGTCATGTTAAAGCTAGTAATAAGAAGAAGAGGCAAATTGACAAAGGCAGATAGCAATAGCAAAAGGAAACGAATAGTGAACGAGCGCGTCCCTTTTCTTGTAAAAACGCAGCTATAGAAAATTCCGATAGGGAAGCTGTGACTGGTAAAAATAAATTAATTAATTTTAGAAAATGCTGCAAAATATAGAATATACTGTGCAAACATAAAAACTTTAAATTTCGGTTTATATAGCTTTAAAAAGAAGCTTGAAAATAAGTGCGAAAGTTCAATAGTCACGAATAGCCAAGAAAAATTTGCTTTCTTTTTTTCGCTGCCGCAGTCGGTTCGGCTTGGTTGTATCGGTTTTCGTGTTCACTGTTTTTTTTTTTTTTTTGTTTATGCGAGATTTCTAATGGAACGTTTCGATAAAAGATTTAATGTGAATATAGTGTAAATCTAAAATATATAAAAACGGCAGATCATGGCGTTGGATGGAGCAAAATTTATTTGTCTGTCCAATGCAGCAGCTGCAGACGCGACAGAAGCGACGCCGACAGAGGCCACAGGGGTTGAAGCCGGCGGCATTGGTGATGCTTCAACATCAGAGAATATAATTGAAGCAAAAGGACGCAAATTTACTGTTGGATACTACATGAACTGTGATTATGTGCTGGAAGATCCTCGTGCAATCGGAGTCCATTGCGAGATACAGTGCGATGCATTCGGAAGGGTAAGTTGTGAGCAAGTTTAACCAACACTATGGCGACGCTTCGCTGTCGGCACTTTGTCAGCGTATATGTATATTTTTCTATAGTATTGTCAAATTGGCGTTATTTTCAATTGTATGTAATATTTCTTAGTTATGGCTCTTGGGTCATGGATTTAATTGTTTGTTTTGATTAATTTACAAAATAGGTAACAATTCACAATAATTCCGAAGCCCATCCAATAAGTGTAAATGAACAAATTATAACACTGAAGCGGCCTCTTTTGGACGGTAGTCGTATTAAGATCTTGGATAGAATTTTTTTGTGGAAGTTTCCAAAGTCGTTAGAGGCATCTGCTACCAATAAAAGTACACAAGAAGAAGATGCTACAATTAACGATACAGGCTCCACACCTCAGAAATTGATAGCGGTACCGGAACAAGCACCAAATTCTTGTCCCGACCTTAAAGTAAGATGTTTCATAAATTATGATGAATAACCTTTATAACTTTTTATAACCAATAAATATTTACAGCATCATCGGAAAGTCGATAAAAGATTCACAGTGCATAAGTGAGTATTCATTCCCTAAATTATAAGTTACTATTTTTACGGTTTATATACATATAGAGTACAGTTATAAAATATTGGTTTTTTTTTTTTAAATCACACTTTTAAAATGTCCCCAATTCATATATATTAACACAAACAGGTAATTAAAATATATCTTTCGAACAAAAGCATTATTTTTAAAATATATATTATATATACTAGATATGTAATGTATATATATACTGTGGTTAATATAAAAATATGAAATTGTTTCGATTATTGCTGGTGGTATTTTACACTTCAATACAGTATCAGCAAAGGCTAAATTTCTGCTCTAATATTTTCAGAGTTTGTTATTTTAGATAATTTTTACACATATTTAAGATATTTACTACATAAAATTATGAAAAACAATATCCGGTTTTTCGAAAAGGTTTGTTTTATTTATTTTTTCAAATACTATTTTTAATATTTTCATATTAACTATATAGCAAAATTTCTGAAAAATCTTAATAAAAATTGGTTGAAATCGGAGCTCAGCACTTTAAAACACCATACTTTTACCGTGTAATCAGATTTTACTGTGGTTGGACCTATGGTGCTTCCATCTTAATGGCATTAGCTCTTTAAATTATGACAGCAATACGCTTTTTAAAATATCGGTATATCGTCATATTACTCTTATTCCGTAAATAGACCTTATCACGAACACAGGTATTTGAGTGGCACAAAGCATTCAATAAAGCCATTGGAACTTTACATCATGCGCATCTTCTACCTCTCGTCGTTGGTGGCGTTAACATTGAAACAGCGCTTGAAAATCGTTGTGTAAACATTAGAAAGATAGCACAAATTCTCAACATCCTTTATGGATAGGCTGAACACTTTTTGGTTAATGTTTTGAATATAAAGTGAAAATTATATTCGGACTAAAAGACTTGAATTTTTCTTAAACACGACGTCTATTAGAAGAAGTTTATGTTTAGCCAAAAAACTAATTTGTTGAAGTCACTTTTCCAGCCAAGACTTATCATTTGTGCTGAATGGATTATTCAGTGATCAAAGAACGAAAATTTGTCTTTATTAGGCTTAAAAAAATTTTTTAAATCCTTCAAATCGTAATATTGGGTAGTCGAAAAAGTCTTTTCGAACTTCTAATCAAACTCAACTTTTTTTTTTTTTTGTTTTTTTGTATAAAAGACAAATATGTACCATTTTGGTCGACTACTTTTTGCCTTTTTTCCGCTACAGACATTATTCCAACAGTGTAAAACTTCTTCCCTTTTTTATACAAAAATTTCAAAATATAGAGATTTTTCTTCATTATTTTCACTAAATTTTGAACAGCTGGAACTTTTTTCCAACTTCCCTGAATTTCACTTTTTTTTGTTAAATGAAGCTTAAGCTTTCCAACACTATATGGTATGACAATGTGATTGGTAACTAATAAAAAAATATGAAACGACTTTTTTGACTACCCAATATATTACATATAAGAACAAATTTAATATTCCGCCCTTAATAAATTACAAGCAAAATTAAAATTTTGTTTCAATATCAGTAGTTTCTTTAAAATTTTTTTTTTTCTTCTGTTAACTTTAAAATGTCGAATTACATACATACATATGTTGTTTGGCAAAAAAGTAATCCTAAAGAATTCACATTTGACTTTGATATTTGTCAATATTTTATTTCTTGAGTATTGTGTTTTTATTGTATTTTTGAATATTTTAATACTAGTAACACCATATGAGGTTTTATCTATCTAAAATTTTTGGCAGAACTTTGTTCAGATGCGTTTAGGAGTAATACTTAAGAGTTAATATATCGCAAACATATCAGATATTCATTTAATTTAGAATTTTGATATAAAAAAAAATTTGGTGCGTTAGTTTTGGGCAATACTGCGTTTATTTACTAAGTGGTCGTTCAGCATATCGTTCTATATTACGTAAAACTTACAAGGGACTCATTTTAATGAGTTTACAAGTGGAATAATTTCTATTTAATTACCTTTTATGTTCTGTACCTATTTCCCAACTGGTTATGCACAATTTATCCTTCTTTTAAATATCAATAAATAATTTACAAATAACTTTGCTCAAAAAAGTTTGAATTTTGAAAATATTATATTTTTAAAGCTTTGCGTACTGCATTAACTCCGATGAGGAGGGCAATACATCTTCTGATTTGCCAAGTATAAGTGAATCTGAGAGAGTTGAGGAAGCTGCAACAACCGAATTAGTTACACAAAAAGAATCTATTAATAAGAACGGAAGGTTTGAAGAAATGTCAGTGGAAGACAAAGAGACTTTGCCAACCAATACCACATTACAAGACAGTGCTGACGGCAAAACAACATTAGAAACTTTAAATGCTCAACGACGTAGTATTACACCCGAGCCACAAAAAAATGAGCCAATCATTGCCAGTACTCCCTTGGTTAAATTAGAGGATACACCCAAAATGAATTTAATAAATTATACACAAAATAAACAAAACACAAGCACCGAGAAGAAACTCCGTATGCTATCATTTTGCCAGCAATCTGATGTGGTGATTACATCCTTTTCACCACGAGAAACCGGTATACGTATCGAAAAATCGTTTACAGCAGTAATCAAGCCTACATCCACAATCTCTACAACACCTAAGAGCGTTTATAGCACTCCGAAAAGTATGCTTTCGAATTCTGACGACGCGGACGATGAAAGTCGTGATTTTATTGATTTCTCTACACCTGCAACATCGAAGAAAGGCGCCCGAGTACTTGTTAAAAATTCTTCTATGCATTTAATCGATTTGACTACGCCTAGTAAATTGGCACCCCACAGTCCGAGACATCGCCTGACCCACAAAGGAAATAAAACACTACCCAGCCAAGTGAAATTTTCAGCAACCTCAATCACTTCTGATAAGTTAAAGGAAGAAGATTCGAAACGAGTAGTGGAGGCTCATTTATTATCAAAGACTTTAACATTGAAAACATCATTCAATAAATCTGAATCATCCCCTCAAAGTGCTGAATCAATTATTAGTGTAGATGAAACTAGTGATTCATCAACCGCTGTTATTGAAATATCTGAAGATGATTCGCCAGCACCTAGTACATCTTCGCCAATTCGCACCGACTTTACCACAAAGACACCACAGCGTCCGACCGGAAAGAAACCTTTCACCTCTACACCATTGCGTACACCACAATCCCTATTGAAACGTGCCATAGTAACAAGTGCTAAGAAGCAAATAAATTCCTCACTGCGAGCTGCACTAGGTAAAACAACACCAGCTCGACAGCTAACATCCACGCCGGCTCATTATAGAAAGCGTGAACAATCTGGTACTGCTGAATTAACTCCGCCAACATCAAAAAGCCGAATATCTATTGGCTCACCAGGAAGTGTAGCTGCAGCACAACGTCGAAATATCAGCTCTTTAACACCGCGCAGTTCAATAGGTGCCAGTACCGACAGGGAACATGTAATAACACCCTCGATAACATCACAAACACGCCTCACACAAAATAGAAAAGTTCCATTTTCCGCGCCTCGTTTAAATACAGCAAAACGTACCTCTCCTCTGCGTGGAGTTCGTAAATCCTTCGACGGCGCAACCCTCACATCGCATATTTCGAAAACACGTCGATCGGTTATATCACCACGTAAGCATTCACCAACAGCTATTGCTACGAAATTGGCAGCAAAAGCTCGTAAATCATTTATACCCAAAAGTCCAAACAACAGTCGAGTAGCTTCGCGTGCTCGCAGCTTGGTAGCCGCAGCGATGAGCCCCAAAAATAGCAGTCCAAATTCAACGACTGACATCAGCTCACCGAAGAGGGAGAATGTTCGAACGGTGGACGATATTACCGAAAAAGAAGTTAAGAAAGAAGCTTCCTTGGAAGAGCAAACTGAAGTTGACGAATTAAGTCGCACATTCACGGTCGAAGATTCGTTGGAAGAGGTGCAAATTAAAACCTCAAATCCTTCAACATCCTGCGCCCTAGACGCTTCTTCATCACAAAACCAGGAAGTGAATAAGACGTTTTCTCCAGAAAGACCACTGACCAGTGAAGACAAAATTGCAGTTGACTTAACTGTCGATGTTGCAGAAACCAGAATTGGATCTCACAAAAGGGATCTTTCAGAAGATTTTAATGAAAAAGATGACAAATTAATTATCGAACACATATCGGAGAGTTTCGCTGAAGTCGTAGAAGCAAAAGCTAAAACAGAAGAAAGTTCAAAAACTTCAAAAGACACCGTTCAGATCGAAAAACAAAATACTATTGAAACTCTTGAAGCGTTTGCATCTCACTCAACAGGGGAGCAAGCAGATGATGTCAAAACTACTGCCGACAAAAGTACTATTGAAGTTGATAATCCACAGGAATCGAAATTGATTGAGGATCAGGTTATTGAAACATTGGACGCTTATGAGATAAGCGGCAATGTTTCGGAAGAACAGCAAAGCAGTACTAAGGGAGAAAAAGATAATGTACTTACATCATCACCTTCTTCAAGTGAAAAAATTGATATGGAAGTCATGCCTAAACAGTCTGCCGAGTCTCAAGGCACTGCGGAGTTGTTGGAGGAGATTGAGTATGTATTGAATAAATCCGATGAATTGCAGCAACAACTAGGTAAAGATGCACATTCTTCAAACATTGAAGTAAGAAACGAATTTGAAGCAGCAATTGAAGAAAAATCACGTAACGACACGGAAGATGTCACACCCAAGGATAATATCAAGACTGTTGTCAATATTAATGCCGAAATTAGTCAGCATATAGAACAGGCCGAAGATTGGGAAGCAACTAACACAGATGAGCCGACAGCATCTTCCACTTCAAACTCAGTAGTACCAAATTCAAAGGATAAACCAGAAACACCAGAAAATGCGAGTTTCACGGACTCAAACTTCATAGTAACAGAGTCTGAAATAACCTCAACTGATATAGATGATAGTTCAAAGCAAACAGAGTTACTATCTCTTACATCTAAAGCTACACCAAGTGAATTTGATGCTTCTACCATTGAAAGCACTGCAGTTCAGAAGTCAATGGTTTCCGATGAATGTGAAACAGGAAATGAAAAAGCAGACAATACAAATAATATTGCAAAAATATTGAACTCAGTATCGGAAGAAAATGAAACTTCCATCCAAACAGAGTTGGCTGGAGCTGATGCAGTGGAGGCAGAAACTGTTGCTGAGACCGTGTCAACCTCTGACGTTGTAGAAGGTATGGTACACACAACTGTTGAAAATTATGTCAGCAATGAAGAAGGTTCTGCTGATAAGTCGAAAATTGATGAAAATAACGCTGCAGAAATTCTAAAGGATTCTCAAACAGCTGTTGTTATCACACTAACTGAACCAGGTGTTGCTGATAACGATACACAAAAAATAGGTGATAATAATAAAAACAAAGAAATTGTGGCGAACCAAACAGAGGTTTTTACAACTGAATGCAAAGAAACTGATAGCGCGGCAAACGAATTTGAGGAATGTAAAACGGTACCATTAGAATCCGAAGTGGCAGTTACAACAGTTGAAGATGCGGAAAAAGTTGCCGAAGAAATTAAACTATTATCAAATAGCAGCAAAACGATCACTGCTGTGTCTGAACCGGATTCTAATGTACAGAATGAAACAAAACCAATACAAGAAGATCAAATACCTGCAAACAGTGACCGCAATAGTGATAGTGAGAAAGAAAATAACGTACGTGTTGCCGATACATGCAAAAAAATGTCTATCAACACTGCCGATGAGACTAAAATAACACCCTCTTTCGAGCCTAAAAGTCCAAATCTCTGTGGCATTCGAGATATGTTACGCACCCCAAAGCAATCGGACTCTACGACTCCACGCTTTGTTGGTTTACGTGACCTTATGCGCACCCCTAAGGCATCAACTAGTGCCGCAGCTGCAGAATCTGCTGTCGGAGCCGAAACAGAAGCGTTGATAGGTGTGCAAAAATTGCTAATTACGCCGCGTTTGAGTAAAATAAAAGCAGAGACTCCACAAAATACTGCTGAAGGTAACAAATTCACACCTAGACGCAGCACAAGACGTAGAGCTTCTGCAAATCCTGAGCTAACACCTACACCTAAAATCATTACTGAAACGGATAATGCACCAAGGCGCACAACCCGAAGACGTGCTTCGGCATCTGCTGAAGTTAACTACACGCCACAGCGTATTACTCGAAGGCGCTCATCTTTGGCATTAGACAACGAAGGAGCAGCAGACAAGGTATTAACGCCAATTAAATGTGGTTCGCGTTCTAAACGCCCAGGTACAATAGCTGAAACCTCAGTCACTGAAAATATGGGTGCAATTATTGAAGAGGAACCTAAAGAACGTTTGCAAGAAACCACTGGTAAGAATTTAAATTATGTTATTAACTATGCACAGTTTTTGAACACACTTTTTTCAAACTTCTAGAAGGGCAGCAAGACATTGTGAAAACTCAGAAGAATAAGGAAGACGTTAAAACTAAAAATAGTGGTATATTTTAAAAGTTTGTATGTTATATATGAATAATTATTTTTTATACAATTTCAGCGCAAGACGATCCTGAAGTTATAGAGGAGAACATTTGTGAAGAAATTAATATGCAGAATCAGGATATTGAAGAGCAAAAAGAAGAAATTGTGGAAGATAAATCAAATAATGAGTGTGAGAAGGCAGACAAGTTCATAAATGGGAGTAAGTTAAATGCAATTTGTGCAATATTTTTTTTTTATAAATATATATATGTTTCATTTTATAGCCGAAGCCATTTGTGTTACTGGGAAACTAGATGAAGATGTCGATAAGATTGAAATTGAAACTGAAAGTAAGATTTCTTACTTAAATTTCTTATAAATAATTTTGAAAATATTTTGAAAATATTATAAAATGCGCAATAATTTCAGCTGAACCTACATCACAACAAACACAAGTACAAGAAGCTGTAGCAGATAGCTCATATAACGTTAGCGAAGTTCATGAAGGTAATTATTAATAAACATAATGCAACAAATGTTAATAGTAGTATTTTTTATGGTGAAAAACAGAAGAACGCATGGAAGAATGTAAAGGCTTAACTTCAGATAAAAATGCCGAAATACGTGATGAATCAGATTATGAATACGGAAAAGAGGTCGTGGAACATAGTGATGGTTGGTATTTTATGCCATGGTTAATTCAGCTACCTAAATATGGAGAACTATTTATGTTTTCTCTAAATAATCTTTGTTTTGTTTTTTTTTTTTTTAGTAAAATGTCCTATCAGTGGTGCTAGATTGGAGATAATTATAAAGTCCGAATATATGAGCTTTACTACATTAATTGCGTAGTAAAATAGATAATGTATAAAAAATATACATTTTTATAACTAAAATGCAATATCTCCAACCTAGTTCTGCAAATAAGTATATTAGTATATTGCAACACAATTAATTTTTCGTAAATTCTATTTTAGCAACAGTACCGAGTGACGCACAGCCGAAATCACCTAAAACTCAACGTAAAACTGTTAGAATTGCGGATACCGACATAGAAAATTCTCCGAAAACACCCGTAATGGTCGGCATGCGTGAGCTACTAAAAACACCGAAAGATTGCGGTGAAACAAAAAGGTTGGCTGGTGTACGAGATCTGCTCCGTACACCTACAATTGACTCAGCAACAAACGATATGGAGGATGATGCGGAACAAGTAGCAGGTTTAGCCGATTTGATGAAGACACCTATAGTTGCGAAAACACACTTTAAGAACGTTGAAGCAACAGGTGAAGACGATGAGCCCTCTTCATCAACTAAGCCTCATTCAGACTTTGTCGGAATGCGGGAGTTATTGAAAACTCCAAAACACACTAGCACACCGTATTATAGCGGTATGCGCGAAATGTTGCGCTCGCCCAAAGCATGCAGCACACCGCAACTGGCTGGTGTCAGGGAACTCTTGCAGACGCCCAAACGTACTAAACTAGATGCCGAATATGACGATAAAGCCGAAGAACTAGACCAATTCTTCAAAACGCCACGTGCTAAAAACATTATGATTCCAGCCGATCCGGCGAGTGCCATTTTGGAACCCAGTTCGGACTCATCTGCTGAAATTATGATGGCTGCAAGAACAGAATATGAACTACATAGTAATAGTCAACGACCTTTGGAAGAAATCTACAAAACGCCCGTTAGTACACGTTTAACAAGTATAGAAATTGAAAAAGATACAAGTTTAACTGTCGACCCAAGTGTAGTCGAAGTGAATATACCCGAGACACCGGCAGCTATTTGTGATAACCCACCGAAGGCAACAGCTAGCAAACGAAATCTCTCTGCTGAAGAGACATTTGATGAAATGGTGGGGTTGCGTACCACATTGGATGAGACGCCTCCACAGAAGGTCTATGCTCGCAAACAACAGTCAAACGTTGCTGTATCACCCTTCTCAGCAACAGACGTGATTTCTGATTTACCTAAAACCGACATACAGGAATGGGTCGATAATTTAGAACAAGGGACCAAATCAGTTGTAGAAGAACAAGAATTTACTGCGTCTACTTCAATGTTAAATGCATCAAAGGCAACACATGATCCAATTGCTGGATCACTATATGAAATAAGTGGCGTTAATACAACCGAGGAATTGCTGGCAGACATGAGTGCGGTGTCTTCAATGGTTGATCCATTACAGGCAAGTGCAAGGAAAACTACTAAATCTTCGTCAACAATAGTCGTTGACGAAAACGAAATATTGCGGCCAGTTACGCCTATCAATGCTGAAATTAGCGGCATCAATTTGCTTGATCAGACAACCGATTCAATGTTCTCGGAACCATTAGTGGTAAGCGACACGGAGTCAGATCAATTAGAAGGAAATGAAAATGATAAAGCAAAAAGAGAAAGCGTTGATGCTAAAAAATCACCAGACGCGGAAGAAATTCCAATAATGTTTGTTGATAGTAGTGATTCTGAGCCAGAAGAAGATATAAATGCAACAGAAAAAACTGACACAAATGAAGTTAAAGTTAAATCTCCAATTGAAAGTGTGAAAATAACACCTGAGGAAGAAATCATTGAGTTAGATGATGAATCTACAGCAAACGCGGAAGTGACTACCAAGCCATGTGACATTCATGAGGAATTCAGTAAATTCCAGTTACACAAAAATGTTGCAGGTCAACAAATGCGGGCATCCACTCCGAATAGAAGTTTAATACAATCTACAAGGGAGCGCAGGCAAAGTATGGGCGCTGAACAACTCATTACAAAGGTGTCTATTGATTTGTCAATTGAAAAAACTCGCTTAACTAAAGAAAAAGAGCGCACGGTAATTGACACCGTAGTAGAGGTTGACGAAGTGCCAGTAGATGAGGCAACTACAGAGGACAACGTAATGAAAATCGATGAAGAGCCTATTGAATCTTCTCCGCATGCAACTGAAATAAAAACTACAAATGCAAGTGAGGACGAACCTTCCGGAACAACTACTGAATCAAAAGACAATGATTCAGAATTTTTCAATTTCCGTGCAAATAAGTTAAGCAACAACCGAGGAAAGCGTGCGGCGACACCAGATCAAGTCAATAAATCGCGGTCACAAAAAATAATACATGGTCGTCGTCTAACCCTAGGGGCTGAGCTGCATTTACCCAAAGTAACATTTGATTTTGAGGAAGAAAAATTAAGATTAGAGGAATCGAAACAACAACCGGCCATTATCGAAGAAAACGTAGAAGCAGTTGCAACTGAGGTCACAATCTTGATATCTGAGCCTAACAAACAAGCAAATTCTGCAAATGAATCGAATAATACAGTGAATGTTGAAGATGATAAAGTTGATGTTAAACGCCAATTGGATAGAGCAGAAAATGCGAGTGAAATGGAAGCAGATTCATTCGAAACGTCAGGAAAAGAGTTTGAAAAAGACACGGTTGAGTCTGATAAGAATTCAATACCAGATGTCGATGCTGAAATTTCATTAAAGGACAAAGATAACGGTCAAATTATTGCAAATGAAGCTAAATGCTCAGCTGAGGAATCAAAAACTGAGACCATAAATACGAAAAATGTAGAAAAGAATATAGTAGATGTCTGTGAACTCGAATGTTTGGAGGACGTTGCAACTGGGGCAAGTGAATCGAAAAATAATGTAAGCAAGGCTGAAAATGTAGATCCAGCAGCCACTGGTAGCAACTGTGGCCGGGAGACAATCAGGTCTTCTGATGATGCACTTTTTAGAGCTTTAGCTGCTGAAGAGGAAAGCAAATCTAAGGAAACAGCTGAAAGTTATGTTTTAGAAATTATAAATGAAGCGAAATCAGAATATATTGAAAATAAGTTAAAAGAAGAGCATGAGGGTACCACCGTGGAAGAAATTACCCCAACAGAATTAACAAAAGAAGAAAATAAAAAATGCAGCGAAGACACTGGTGCTGCAGCAACCACAAAACCCATTACGCAAGAAACAGCGGAGACCCGTGATGAAATATCGATATCTTCAACAGTTCATATAGTCGCTAACCCAGAAGTACAATCAACTGTTGGCATCGCAGAAATAAAATCTGAAAAACAAGATCTAGAAGAAGCACTTGATAGCACAACAGTTGAAGAATTTGAAGCCGGATCATCAATAAATAAAGCAAATGAAAACAAAACTGATTCTGAAGGAGATCGTCAAGTGCCCAATAATGTTAGTCTTGAAGTACCCGAAACACGTGAAGAATCATCGGCAGCATCTTTCCGCGCTGAGAATAAAATATTATCTGCTGGAGAACGATTCAACGAGAGTGATATATTTGATTTAACCGTAGAGCTACCAAATGAAACTCCCACAATTAAGACAACACAAGGCGTTATATTTGATTTAATTGAAGAGGATGCCGAAAGTACAGCTGAAACGAACACTGCCGATAACACCACGCCCTACGAACTAAAACAGTGTAACGTGACTGAGTCCGCAACAGTGTCTATAGATAACAATTCTATCAAAACTTCAGAAGCAACCGAAACAGAAGATGATAGCAAGAAGACCGATTTCATCGAAAATAAGGAAGAATCTGACAGATCCGCCGTAATATACCAGGAAATAGTTTTGAGTAACGAAGCTCCAATAGATAACACAGAAGTTTTATCGGACGTTTCATGTGAAAGCGAAATTGCCGAAAAGGAAGTGAAAACTACAGGTTTTGAAGAACTGGAAGTCTCTATTGATGAAAAGTCACCACTCGATACAAACACAAGTACGGATAATGAAACTTTTACTTTGGCCGTATCGACGGAAACAGAATTGGATAACGACAACGAAATGCCCGAAGTAGCGACAAAAACTACCATAGCTAGAGCAGGGCAAGAGGGGCCGGTCGTAAAAGCCGATACAAACAATGAAGTAGAAGAACCAAATAATGAAACGGTCCAAGCTATCATCACAGATACTGTTAAAATTGAGGCTATACCGCAAGCCTCTGTAACTGAACTTCACACTGATGCAGAAGATATTACAGAAGAACCAGCAACAATAATTACAACAGAGCCAACTAAAGTTGCTACGGTCGAAACAGTAATTGATTTAGAAATCCCCACATCTACTACTCTTACTGCTGAAGAAGCTGACACCACCGACAATAAAGATTCGATTGTAGCTGATCGAATTGATATTGATGAATGTATGGTACCAGAAGTGGCTATTTCTTCTACAAATTCACCAATAACGATGGAAACTGAACACGCTAACAAAGATACAAAAGAAATCAAAGTAATTGAAGAGCTGCATCAAGAAGCAAAACAATTTCAAAATTTACGAACAGAAAATACGGAAATAACAGATGAAGTGAAAGGGCAGACAGTAACGGCCGCAGAAATCGTAGATGAGCCAATACAAGCACCAGTAAATAAAGAAAAATTAAAAGTAATTGGAGACAATGAGGAACCTTCATGTTCCAAACAAGCAGGAAAAGCAAATAATGAGACTGAAATTACACCTCTTATCATAACTCCTTCAATAATGTCACATGCTGCGCAGGATACGGTGGAAACAGTTAGCAGTAAAGTTCAAGTGAATAAAAATAAATCATTAATTAAGGATAAAGTTACAGCTCAAACTCACATAGATAAAGGTGAAAAAGGAAACACAGATGTAGTACAATTATCAGCAAGTAAAAGTTCTAAAACTTCCGAAAGCAGAGTATATGTTTCAAATATGTCGGTCGAAGAAACATCAGTACTTAGCGAGAATATAGAGATAGTGGAAAAGGAACGAGAAGCATCCGTTGAAACACAAGGACTTGTCAAGCGCAGAGGTCGTAAACCATCTCGATCCAAACCAACAACTGAAAAAAATATCGACTTGGTGTCCACGACAATAATTGCAAAGCGTATATTAGTTGAGGAATATTCAGATGACAAAAAATCTATCCCTGTAACAAGTAAACATGAAGAATCTTCCGCTGGAATAGCGACGACACCCGAAGCAGCTGTTGCACGCTCAACACGCCACAAAACAGAACCAGAATATTACACAAAAGTAAACTATGAGGTACGCATATCGGAGAGCGCAGAAACGGCAAATGATGTTAAATCTGATAAGTGTGAGGAGATTGTACTACCAGACCAAAGTGAAAAATTGAAAAAAGAAACTAAGTACGCTGATCATTTGGAAATTATGGACAATGTTACAGGTCAACAATTGGCTTCATCTACTGAACTTGATGAAGAAATAAATACTACTGAGACTACCAGTAAAGCTGAGGAAGTGCATGAACCAAAGCGAGAACGGCGCACTCGTAAGGGCTCCCAATCCAGTCAATGCTCCACACATGATGAAGATCATCTACCGACAACAACAACCAGACGGCGAGGTGGACGTCGACGTGCTGACACACCACTTGAGCATATTGAGGTCTCAACCTCTGATCTGCCAACAGTTAAACGTCGACGTCAAGGTCATGACAAATTGGTCGAGGATATGCCACTAGAAGAAATACAAGAGATACCAATTGAAGAGACCGAAATAGTAATTCCAGAAGAAAATGTTATCGAAGTCGCATCGGAAAATAGTGGAGAAAGTATAGAGGAACATCATAGTGGAAACATTAATAATGACGTGAAGAAATTAGACCACGATCATATAGAGGAAGTTGTACGTTCCACTACTGGCAAAGAGCAACAACATGTTGATTCGGAAAATGCCATAATAAAAAGCGACATCAGCAGGCGACAACGTGTGGCGAAGGCAACAGATGTCATCGGTGACCGTGTTACGGATTTACAACATAGTGATACTGACGAATTGTCAAGTGTGTCCGCTGCTACAAAACGTGGCAGACGTAAGCCGACACTTTCCGAATCGAGCCAAACTTCAGTCACTTCCGAATCCCTTGGCACAAAACGTCGAAGACGCGGACATAACGCAACTTCTGATAAATCTAATATTAATGAGACAATAGACGAGGTTGAAAAGAAAAGTTTGCATAAAATTAAGGAGACATTACAAGTTGGAGAAAATGATGCCACAACTGTGCCGGTGCTGCCTACCATAGCCAAAGCCATAAAAGCTGAATTGTTAAGTGAAGCTGAAGTCGCCGTTGAAGGAGCCTCTGATGCAATTAAAACAGAAGTAGGTCATAGTACAGACGCGGATTCTTCGAAACGTACGGAAAATAAGCGCACACGGAAGGCGAGTAATAAGGAATTACCCGATGAAACAAGAGATATAAAGATAGAGCAGTCTCATGATGAGAAATCAGTTGTGGAACAAGAACAACCCTTAAAGAAGGTTGCTACGACAAGTCGTGCACGTGTTAATCGACGTAAGAAAGCCGAAGTAGATGACGACCACCATGAAAAAGTCGAAGGACCTAATCTAGTTCACAAAAATGAAGGAATAGTGGAGACGGAAGCTCAAAACAAAATTGAAGTGCCCGAACAAGCCGTGTTGCAGTCTACAAATACAAATGCCGACTCTGTAGGTGGTCGGCGGGGACGTCGAGGAGCTGCTGCCGCTGCTACCGTCGCTATAAATGAGGTATCCTCAGCTCATAAACGCACTGCAGTGCGTGGCAAGAACAACCAAAATAAATCACATGCAACTCGAAAAGAAGAGGAAACCACTAAGAAAGTGTCTAAAGAAGAACAAATTGAAACCGCTACTGACCATGATGATCCGCCGACTGTTGTTGATGGGAAAAATCCACACAAATCTGTACGCACGCGCCGTATTTCTCTAAAAGAAATGCAACCATCGCACGCTGTTACTGCTGACGAAGGTGAAGGTGTTGAAGAATTGGAAACAGAAGAAGTTGCAGAACCATCGACGAAGGTTGTAACGAAGCGCTTACGCAAGCGTCGGGAGTCGCATAACGCCGATGAACAAGAGCCGTTTAATAAGTCGGAAGCTCGAGATGAAACGCCAACATTTGTACCGGCTGAATCTCCTACCGCCACATCAACGAAACAGCGTAGTAGACGTAAACGCAAGGATTCGCATCAAAACTTGAATGATGAAGCTCTTGGTGATGAGCCACCAAAGAAGCGGCCACTCAGTCGAAAGCGGCGCGATTCCTCGATGGATAGTAGCATACACGAAGGAATTGGCATTGATATGGACACCAATCATGGTGCAAATACTTCATCTTCCTCTACAACGCCGCAACGTCCACGTCGCGCAGCTGCGGCTCAAGATCGCAACTACGACGAGAGTTCAGATGCTGAGGCGCAAGTCGATCTCAAGCGTCGAATCGAAAAGGCATCGCTACCAAAAGCCAGTACCAACATCAGTGCAGCAACAGCTGTTTCTTCATTGAAGCAGGGAAGTCCCATAAGGGCTAAAACGCCTACAAAGTCGATGGTTCCGGCAGCAGTTGCAGAAATTACAACTAAAACAACGAGCACACCTATATTATCAACAGTGATAACCACAAGTCGTGGGCGTCAACGAAAACCCACCGCGCGCGTGCAGCAGTACCTTGAAGAGGAACGCGCTAAAGCCGAGACACCGAAGAAACGTTTACTGCTCGGTTCAGCCGCAGTCAGCGAAACATCCACATCACAGGCGGGAGTTACACCTATACGTCGTACACGAAAAGCTTCCACCGTTGAAACAGAGGGGTCTGAAATGGTCCACACAGTGGCTCGTGGACGAACGCGCACCGCTAAAGTTTTACACGTCACAGAAACTTCAGAAGAATCGCGTTCGGAAGTGGAACATGCACATTCCGAGTTGGAAACAACTCACAGTAGTAGTCATGTGGAAGAAAAAGGGCGAACAACAAAATCAAAGGCAACAAAACGACCTCCACGTGGTCGTGGCAAACAGCTAATATCCACAGTAGCAGCTGCTACCGTGGAAAGTGAAATTCCCGATGTGCTAGCAAAGGCAGTTGCTACTCCGACAGAAGCAACACTCTCTGGCACCGGCCGCACAGGACGCGCCGCGAAAGCAGCAGCTGCGGCAGCATTAATAACTGACGACCCTGTTGGTTCACATACAAAGCCCCGCGGAGGACGTACTAGGCGGGGTGCAGTCAACGTCGACGAAGAAGTACAACCAACCGATGCTGAAGTAAAGGAAGTACAAACGGAAACAGTAGTTACGCTTGAAACCGATGTCGAGCAATCAAACAAGAAAACGAGGAAAACTGTGGCGGGTGGACGTACTGCTCGAGGCGGTCGTAGTCGCAAAAAACAGCAAGAGCTCGACGATGCCACAGATGAACACATATTGCAACACACGTCGTTGACAGGTGTCGAAACGAGTAGTAATGTTGCTTCACATCAACAACCGCAAAATCCAATTATCGCAGATGCCGATGATGAGCACGAAGACGATGACGAAACGCTCACAACGGAAGCAGCAGATCTAGAGGTGGCTACATCCCTTGCGGGTGCAAAATTAGCAGGTAAAAAACGTACAGCAGCCAGGCGTAAAGCGGCAGCTGCCACGGCCAGTGTTGCAGAGTCCCCAGTACCCAAGCGTGGACGACGTCGTGCCGTTGCCGCTAACGCTGAAGAAAGTGATGCCGCCTCACAATTGGATACACGAGCCGAGAGTGCCGCCAGTAGTCGTAGCCGCAAAGTAGTTCGTTTTGACGCGGCTACGCCGTCAAGTGTGGCCAGTGCTACGATGTCGGTGGATACAGCTGCCGAAGAAGAGACCACATCAGCTCCAGCTGCACCGGCCAAACGTGCCACACGCTCACGCCGGAAGTGAATGGCGGTGGCAGAACAATAAAAAAAAACATAGAATTAGCAATGTTTAGTAACTGCGCTTATTAACACTTGTTTTAAGCATTTACAATTTTTTCCATTCTCATTGACTAGCGGTCTAATCTTTAAATTTCTAAACAAATAATGCGTATGCTTTGGTGTAGTTTATACTGTACACTATTGGATAGCGCAGCCGCGTCTAGCACTACAAATCCATACATTCGAGGTTTTCATCATCAATCAATTAACACTGAAACTTCTTATTTTTATTCTCTTATTATTTTTAAGTTTTCCTAAACTATAAATTTCTTAACTTTTTGTATTGTTGTATACGTTCTATTTAGATTTCCTTTCGGACTTCTTTTTGTATTCCAATTAAAATTAACAAGAATTGAAAAAGACAAAATTAATAATTATAATAAAATGCATATTTGTTTTGCCGTCGGCATTTAGCGTAGAAAATATACATATATACACACATATTCTACCGTAAATACAAACTATGATTAATACCAACAAAATATATTGTACTTTTATGTCTAAAAAAATCATAAAAAACGAAAATAAATAAAAAATAATCGTATAACAATTTTATAAAACATACTTTTTATTGAAATTACGGAATATGTAAAATGTATATTGCGCAAGTTTGTATATTTATTTATTGTGATTAGATTTAAAAATTTCAACCAAGTTTAGTTATAATCCTGGGCCGCGTTCGCGGCGTTCAGAATCGTTATAAACATTGAAATCAGAGAAGTATCTAGCTTATGTACTATATTTTTGTGGACTTAAAAGAGGTCTGATTGTTGAAGACGATGGCGAAGAAATTCTTACCAACAACCACACAAATATTGTCGACGTGCAGCAATAATATATAATAGGGGTTTCACAACGATCCGAAAATATAGCGATCAGAGTTGTATTTGCGTAAACTTATTTTAGTATGCAATCCAACAACAAAATTTTTAAACTAGTATACAAATTTATGATTTTACGATGCTCTATGACCCGTTGTGAGTACCCCAAATATAATTTATATAATAAAAAATATATTTGTCCGTAAATGGTTTGTACCACTCAGTCACTCAGAGTTAAGAAGCCTTCATACCTTTCAAAATACTTCTCCAGCAATTGAAGCCTCCAATATAAAATATAATGCAGACAGGTTATTGAGTCACTTATTCACATAATATAAAGCAACCGTAGTCAACGAGAACCGGAATGAATTCAGACCTATGTTAAGCTAAGAAGTACTGTTGTATATAATTGCAAAAACAAAGAAGTTTAATACCGTATACAATGAATCTAATCGCATCAGCAACCCTCGTTACATATTAATCAAACTTGCTTTATTATTTTTTCTCTTTGACACTGGTAAATAAAAATGTATTATCTTTATTACTTAATAGCTTCTTTTACATATAAGGACTTACATACAAATATTTAATTACATACCACATGTATTTCAACTTACATACAAATTTTTGGTATCACTAGACATACATAAATGAAAAGTATATATGTAAATTAACAGTGGCAAATATTTTTGAAGCTTCTGTTGGTTTTGTGCATTCGAAAAAGTCACAAATAAAGTATGCATAAATCATTTAATACTAAATTTAAAAAAAAATACTTAACTANATAAAATAAATAATACAATATACAATTAAAAATTTATACATAAATGCATATGCAGACAGATGCATATAATAAAAACATACATAATAAAATTGTGATTCTTCAAGCATGAGGTATATCACCGCTGTTGTACGAATTTAGTATTATCAAAAAGCCACAGAAAATAATCGTTGTGCTTAGTTTTGTCGGTTACAAAGAAAAGATAACAGATAAATATTTCAAATTAAAACTAATAGAAAATTAAATAATCAAATTTACAACTTTTGTAAAGTTTCGTTTTCAATCAAACCAAAAAAATAAATACCGCAAATATTAACTAAAGAAGTCATGTCCTTCCTAGGTTTTTCGATATATCTACATTTATTTGGATTTATGTTTATTATGCTAATTATTCGCACTTATTGTTTTTTTTTTAATTTAATATTTTTTTGTTCGTTTTATTAAAAAAATATTTTGTACGCAATACTTTACAGCTTCTTATGTAATGGCTTTATGTAGAAATGACAGTACCGAGCAAAAATATGCGGATTTGCAACAATTTAACTCTGATAAAATTAAAGGAGCAATAAGTAAGAATGGTTTCGTATTAAAGCATAAGCGCATATCTAAATGCTAAGTTAATTTCTGTATCGTTTAAATTTTGTGATGGCAGCAAAGTATTTGTAAAAACACACTTATAATATTTATATGGATGCAATAAAAAATCGTAGGGACGGTGTGGATATTACATCTTCAAAGAGGTATGAAGAAAAAAAATAATAAACATATTTTTGTATGTACAAAAGTTTCATGTACATATGGAAAGTCAATAATTTGAATTAAGCTTTCATTAGGAGATGAGGCTCAGAGCGTAAAGAATCAGTTAGATATTGGGTTTTCATCGTCTTTTGAAAATAGCGTTTCTCGTTGGGTGAATTTACATTATATACTAGTGGACGAACACCGACGTTGCGCCATAATTCAGCAATGTGACTGTAAATAAATTAATATTTGATTGTAAATGATGTATTATTATTAAGTTTGTTGCATTAACGTACAGATTGAATTCTTCCTTGCTGACAAAAACAACACTGATTCCGATTACAGGCGCAATGATATTACGGAAAAAAGCACCATAAATTGATGTTATGAGTGTTGACGCCTTCAAAAGTGCCAATGAAAGCGACTTCTCCGTCCAAAGTCCGCAAATCAATTCCGGTCGTGATTTACGTAACTGAAAATGTATTAGATTTGCTGTTAAAGCACAAATTAAAAGATATAACAAGAAAACACGTTAACTTCGGTTGCACCGAAGCTGTAGAAAAGTTTCCATTCAAGAACATAATTTTGATCGGCCAGTTTGTTCGATAGCTATACGCTGTAGTACTCCGATCATAATTTATTTTACAGAGTGTACCGTCAGTCACTTTGGTTAAACCAACTTAGCTCGATAAGCTTACCATTTGTATACATATTGTATAGGGTATCCGACGTTACCTTCGGATTGTTACAAACTTCATTGCAAACTATATACCCTATTATGGATATAATTAAGCAATGCTATTTATATCACTTTACCTGATAAATAGCATATGGTGAACGGCTGATGAGTATTGTGCGTGATGTGAATTGTGAATTAGATTCGATTGCAGCTCTTAACTGTTCCAACATGCGTACACTGTTGTCCAAAATATGTAAAAAAATAGTTATGCGGTGTTCTTCTTCCAAAATTTGCAACAATTCATTAAGAGTAAGTATTTGTTCAGCTTCAAATTGTGAGCTAAAAAGAAAAAATACACATCTTATACAAATGTGTGTACGATTAGCTACTTGCTTGCTTACCCTAAAGGATGTAGCTCTGTTATATTTAATTTGCGTAATTCGTCTAATGTGTATTGTGCAACGCCACCCAACAAACCGGCTCGTTCTAAAGTTGTGCGATTTACTATCACAATTTCACCACACGCTGTCAAACCGGCCTCCAGCAGTATGTTTCGATAACCACGTGCCACACACTGGAATACATACATATGATATTAAATCCTTTAATATTCTTGCATAAATTATCACAGGATATAAGCCGGCTATATTGATTTTTCATTCTCATGTTATCTGATGCAAAATTCATGGAATGTACCTTTTTGATTGCTGCTCTGGAGTTTTCGGGAGCATCATAGCCCGCACCGCGGTTAGCTATTGGCCAATAAGTTAGTTCTTCCGGTGCACAACCGCCCAGTAGTCTAAGCAATCGTTTTTCATCCGGGCTACGTAATTTCGCGAACTTAGAAGCCACACAAGCGACCATCAGTACTAACGTCATCCAGGGGATACAAGCCGAGGCAAGATTGCAGGCAAACCAAAAAACATTAAAGAGCATGGAGAGTAGTCGCGCCGAACACCTTAACAGTTGGTAGAGCATTTTCAGCAGCGTCCACAATACGTTCAGGATTCTCATTCAGCTGCATACATACATGTGTATAAATTAAAACAAATTGCACTTTATTTTATTATTCTCACTACCTTACCTGGTGCACCAAAAACTTATGTTTGGCAAACTGTATCCAAAGTTGTGTCACAAGTTTATTTGCCACCCCACTCACACTAGGAAATAGTTGTAGTTAGCAATGTCTATTACTCCTTTCAATTTCCTGCTAATTTATTACACAGTATTCCCTTTCGACACGTTGTACTTAAATTGCTAAGCCCACCCTCGAATTCGAAAAACTTCTCAACCTTTAAAATCCTTACACAGTTCCAAAGTAACTGTTAATTTCTGTTGCCAGGACATTCCACTATTAGCCGGTTTCTACACAATACACACCCTGGTTGGTAGACATAAATGACCTTATTCTCTAATCATGCAACTTTGTTGTTGTTCCTTAGGCAAATTTACTAATAAGAACTAAATATCTTAAAGATAGACAAATCAAAAGGGTCTAATAAGAACGTATGACAGTACCAAAGCAAAAGTTCTGATAAATAATATGTAAAAACAAACATCGTTGCCCCGCCAATGAGAACTTCTAAAATATTAAAAATAAAATAATGGGTTTATAAATGAAAAAAAAAAAAAACAAATAAATAAATAATTGATCTCTACCTCTACTTCAGCTTTTGTATATTTAATTATTTCTAGCATCACTTTTTGCTAGCTTCGTTAATGATGGGAACAATGTTATAATATTCAGAGTAAATTTCAAAAATAAAAAGGTTGTGCTACTCAATTAATTCTGATGACAAAATGACCAAAAAGAAGTAATTTATTTATATTTACTTGTAAATTGTTTTTAAATTATTTAACAAAAATACATAACCCTATTATAAATTACGGTATGAAAGCAAATTCAAGAAACGAATATGAGTGCGAAACAAAAGCCACTCAGCTGAGCAGTTGTAGAAAAAGTTAATCCGCGTGATAAAGGCAACTATATGTGAGATTTATTGAAAACAGCTGAAAAGAGGAGACATATTAGAAATATAAGAAAAACCTCCGAAATGAATTGTGATAAATCAGGGTACATAAGAAAATAGTCCACAATCGAAGTAGTAAATTTTTTTGGAGAAGTTATCGTGAAGATTTAATTTTTAAGTACGCAATTTGTGTAAAAAAGTGTGCATTAAATAAATAGTTAAAACAAGAGAGTTTGTAAAATCTGTTTTAAAGAAAATAATTGAAAATGCCACTCAAGGAACGCAATATTGCCATGATGGGCTACAGCTCTGTGGGTAGGACATTAGGGTCGCTCACTTCCTGGATTCCAGATAGCAGAGATAATATAACAAATCCCCATACGTACATTAATTTTTTATATTTATGTCGTAATTATTTATATTATCTCTTGAAATCTGTAAAAATGCGTATTTATATATATATGTGAATACTCGAATACATTCTCTATGATTTATATGGATATTTTGCATATTTGCTTTCTCTTACATTTTTAATTTTATGTTCCTTCATTGGGGCTAATATTCCATAATGTCTTTTGTTGTTGCCTGTAACTGCATAGGCAAATCATCGCTGTGCATACAATTTGTTGAGGGTCAATTTGTGGACTCCTATGATCCGACAATTGAGAACAGTAAGTACATATACAAATATTGGAAAGTTGTGAATCATAATTAAAAGGTTAGATTTGAAGAATATATCAATATGGGTGCAAGGAATAGTCATATCTTATTTTTAAAGCAAGAAGATACGCACATGCTTCTTTTACGTGTAGGTTACGCAAATTTTTAATGAATGACATCGATGTACGGTATGTGGTTAATCTTTAATGTTATCGCTGTGACTGTTGACCTCGCCTAAATGAAATAAGTACACTCCTAATATATTGTTTTACGTTTTAAGTAGTTTTGTATAAAAAATGTACAATATAAATTTATATCTTCTCAATACTTTATTCGCAAAAATTTCGTACTATGTATCTCGCTCATTGCTAATTTCAATAACTCAGAAATAAATAACAATAACAATGGAAAGTTGTTTGACGAGTGATCTGTGTATACTCGTATACCAGCTTCTTAAAATCCTTGAAGGAAATTACGTTGTAAGCTGTATTATTCCAAAATTCTTATACCGTAATTCCTAATTCCTTACTTCAATTTTATGTTATTTATAAGTAAATGTGAATATTGTGTGTAATTTGTAAAAAAAAGCTATATATACATATGTTTTCAGTAGATTCTTTGTGTTATAGATTCATAATATATATGTACATATAAGCAAGTATAGACGTGAGCGTGGCAAGAATTTTGTAGGACATTTTAAGTTACTTACATATGTATGTTTGTATCATGATTTTATGATTGAATCATGGTTTGAATATAGTATTAGCAAATTCATAAGGTTTCTAACTTTAATATTTTTCAAGCGCATTTAAATGTGTTTCTATGTTTTCAAATGGTCGCCCGTCAAACCTCAAAAGGATACTAACATAAAACCGAAATCTAAAATGTACGGAAGTAAATCGTTATGAGTTATATTATCGTGAAGCTACCCCAATTATATTACAAAATTTTGTTGTATTATCTTTTACTGGTATCTTAGCAGAAAAAATTATAAAATTATTTACCACACAATGTATCTAATTACTTTTTCTCACATTAGCCTTTACGAAAATAGCTCGAGTGAATTCGCAGGACTACGAAGTCAAAGTAGTTGATACAGCTGGACAGGATGAGTACAGCATATTCCCAGTGCAATATAGCATGGACTTTCACGGATATGTTCTTGTTTATTCAATAACCAGTCAAAAGTCTTTTGAAGTGATAAAAATTATTTACGAAAAGTTATTGGATGTAATGGGAAAGAAATAGTAAATAAAACAATATACAAATTTGGTTTCAGTTTTCTTTACCAAATACCATTCATATATAATTTTGCAGTGTACCTGTTGTATTAGTTGGAAACAAAACCGATTTACACCAAGAGCGCATGGTGTCTACTGAAGAAGGGCGTAAATTAGCTGAATCATGGCGAGCTATATTTCTGGAAACTTCAGCTAAGCAAAATGAGGTAATAATTAACAAATTATATTTTAATTTGTGTTAAAATTATAACATTTTAGTCTGTTGCTGATATATTTCATCGACTTCTCATATCCATTGAGAGTGAAAATGGTAATCCACAGGAAAAGAGTAATTGCATTATTTCGTGAGGGCATTCAGCCGTAAATAACTGGTCACAACAAAAACAACGCCCTATTCCAATTTCCACTGCAGCATTAATCTATATAATAGCAGCAGCAGCAGCATTAACTGGTGCACCTAAAACATTAAATAAGACCATATCACAGTTGATCAGTGCGAAAGAACTACAGAAGGAAGCGCTCCATGGAAAGCTGCAGTGCATTGTAGGCGTGGTCGTGTGTATGTGTGAACTATTTGAATGTGTAGGTGAGAATGTTTGTGTGAATTTTTCTTATAAACCCCGGGGTAGCTGCCAAATTTTATACTTGGCACTATCGAAACAAACATGATTCATAAGTAAATAGGTAATTGCGCGAATTTCACTGCATCGATTAGCGTTGTAGATTGAAAGTTTAAATAATTAAAGTTATCACATTTAAAAATACATATTATTCCTTAAAAAATGTCTATTTGATCAAATGTTGCACATTGAGTTTTACGTTGCTTTAATTTACCGGAGACTAACTTCAATATCTTTTACTACAAAACTAATAAATTTTACAGAATTATAATTGTTTCTTCGGCAGTAGTTACAGTGTAAGATATTATTTTTTATATTAAAATGTAGTTGCTTTTTAGTCTCTTGTATAATTTTTGGAATGTATATTTAATGACTTTTACAAAAAAGTTTTCTCAGCAATAAGGAATAAAAGAATAGAAGCATAGGATCATAAAAGGACAGAAATAAAAACATAATAAATAGTCTTTGTTTCAACTACTTCTACAATAGAGCAATAAACTATTAAACATTTTTTGAAATAAATTTAATTTAATCCTATTTAAATGAACCAATTATATGTTTAAGTTGAGTAGAATTAATTATTTATTGTTAGGATTTCCTGACTTTTTCCTTTGAACACTTTAAATATGCTTATAAAATTCTTTTTTTAAATTATCAATCTTCAACTTGCGTTTTTATGTGAAAGAAACGCCGCCTTGAAAATTGGAATGATCAAAACATATTTCAATGATTTATATATTAAAAAAACTTTGCTTAGACAACTTATTCATCAATATATTTTATTTTTATTGATTAATCATTATATTTTAGTTATTCAAAAATGGAAATATTAAATTTTATACCTATGCTCTGTGTCATTAATTATCTAAGGAGGTTTGTTCTATCCAATGAAATAGGAAATAAATTGAATTACTTAAAACTCTTTTAAAACTTGTTTAAGTTCTGACACTAGAAAATTGAACTTACGGAACTCGAACCAATACAACTGAATTCTTGAATCGGCAATAGAAATCAAATTTCCTTACATGACTCCTAGTCTTTCGAAGATTTTTGTGGATTATGGTGATTTGAGTTAGGGGAGTTCAACTATATTTCATTTTAAGAGAAATGTGGACTAATTTTTGATTAGTCGCTTGGCAACCCTAATAAATGACTCATAGCAAATTTTTGTTCGTACTATCTTTCAACTGCCGTTTTATGTGAAAGAAAGATGAAAAACATATATTGCTTTCATTCTAACACATAAAATGGAAGGGGTATGTGTTATATTTGTCTTCGTTGCTCGACAAACAAGGTAATTGTAAAACGGTAATTAAGAAAATGTCTCATATAATTGCAATTTTGAAACGACACAACACGAAAGTGCTGTTGTTGCGGATGTGTAAAAACGTTTTTGTGAAGTTAATGAAAAAATAATAATTTCTACAAGTTGCAGAATTATAATGTCATAAGATTGGTAAAATATTATCATAATAACTTACAAGTTGTGAATAGTGTCCTCTATTAAGTTAAGGTGAGAAATTGTATTGTACAGTGTTTTTCTGGAAACCACAACATTAGTGAATTTAAAGGTGTAGTTGTCATTGTGACTGGAATTATTTTTGAAGACCGAATGTCTGAGAACCTGCATATATTAAAGATATAATAAAACGGTACGAATACATCGAAATTCATTTTATATAATTTAATAAATCTTAATTTATGGGTCATAATTTCGAGTATATTCTACAATATACAATACAAACTATAGAAACAATCAAAATAACAACCACCGCGTATAATCGTTAGCGATTCCTTCTATCAACATTTTTTGTCGTTGCTGCTAGGTAAACGCAGCTGTTCACCATCAGCAAAGCGAGCGGGTAAAAAAGGTTCTTTATTGTGTTGTTGTTATATAGTTTCGAATAAGCCTTGGGTGCGCAAAAAGGCAAATTATAAATATATGTGTGAAGGGTATAAAGCTGTTTCGTTGTCCTGTGGATGTTGGTTTGCACACCTCAATAGCGAATTGTAACAGGTATGTATCATTCTTGAGCTTAGCGATTTACAATTCTGTATTCGTTCTTAAAACATCTTATACCCTGTTTTGACGAAAGTAATATGTTAGCTGTCATCTAAATATCTTAACGGTAGTCCCAATGAGGTGATTAGTGACATGCGAGACTCGTTGCATATGCAATAACTTGCCTATGAAGATAGCACGTACTTTTTTGACTGTCTAACTATGTATCGACCGTTAAACATGGAAATTAGTGCAAGTTGGTCATACCATCTGGACGATCCGGAACAAGAGTTTATAAGAAAAACGATCGAATAATATTTATAAAAAATATGTTCTTATGAACCCATACACTTTCACCATCGAACCTTTCCAAATAAAGGGTCTTCCAACAAAAACGACGTGATGTTAAAATAATATAAAACAGTGAAATTTGGTCAAAATACCGTTATTGCTATGCCTATTATTTAAGCAAAATGTAAGCCAAATTGCCACCATGGCTCCGTTTGTAGATCTTCACCCCCATTTATGCCAATCTTCGATGACCCCGTGCAGCATTTCAGCATGGTTCTCAAAATTGTGTTTTCTAGCTTCTCGAGCGTTGCTAGTTAATTGGCATAAACCTTTGATTTTATATAATCCAGAGGAGTTTAATGGCCAATGTATGACCACGTTCACATAAAAAGTTTTTGACGCGAATCCAAACAAAATGTTGGACGACTCCCATCTTTTTACGCGTTGCCATACCACAGTCGACATTAAATTAGAGAAAGACACTGAAAGCAAAGCGTTGTGAAGGGAAGTTTTATGTGAATGGCCCTTAAGCATTTCTCGAATTAACTCCAAACTTTGTTCGCAATGTTTCCATCTGCGCACAGTCCAAATAAAGTTCGTCCGTGTAGATTTCATCAAATTTGTGAATTTTTCGGGTAATTTAATATTTTATCATGTTGTGAAATGTGACATAATGCAATGGCAAACCTTACTGAAAACACTGACAAAATTTGACACAGATCGGTAAAGAAACATGGCTACAACGAGCTGTCAAAATCACGAAATTCCTATAGGTAGACGCTGTATAACTATTCCTAAATATGGAATTATGTGGTGAATAAATTGTATTGTTTGAAAACCTGTTAGTAATTTGTCGTTTTTATTCGTTATTAGAATTTACCTAAATTTTCTCATCATGGAATAAATGCATATACATTCATAAATATGTAGTCAAATTGTAGATACGTCTGTTAACATTTACAGTCGTTTTTTGTCGGTTAGTATAATAATTACCTTCGTGTTTTATGATTTCATTTATACTATATATGGTAAGGTCTATATCACACTACTTATAATAACTTTTGAAAACTTTTTTATTTTTAATATTTGTGACAATAAATGTAAAGCTAATTAAGCATAATGCGAACACACATACAAGCATGAATAATATCAAAATATCAATAAAAATTTGAAGCAGTCGGAGTATACTTTAGCAACTGAAATATGTTTCTGAAAACATACAAACACACTCACTTACGTTATATAAATGAGAGTGAAAAACTGCGGAGTATCAAAAGGCACGCTGATTTGGTCACTGACACTATTTTAATTTTGTATTAAATATTAAATGTTTATTAATGTAAACAAAACGAATTTATTAGAATTTCACAGTTGCTTATTTAATGTAATAAATGTCGATGTAACATCTATAGTACGTATATTCAATAAGAAAAAACAACGGTACATTATTTTTAGTAAAATTATAGCAAATCTTTAGATTTTTCGGTCAGTACCGGTTATGTAGACCCGACTGTTGTGGGAACAGGCAAGCTCATTACTCCCAATCACTGCTTTAAATCGCCGTGGCAACTATGGATTGGAGTATATTTATCCATACCTTCAGAACCCTTTTTTGAAAAACTGATCAGTATTGCCACGTTGCTGCCATCGATTTTCTTTTTACAATTACGGAAGGGGTATTTTCTATTCATTATGTGGCAGCATAAGGGATTCTATAATGTCTTTTTAGACGTTCCGATCCTTGGTGTCATAAATGCTCTATCAATTGCAGATCACTTTTAAATGCAAATTTTTTTTTCGCCTCTTAAATTGCGCTGTCAAATTTTTCGTGAAATTAAGTTAAATCATTCTTTACGTCGTTGCTTCCAAAGGTGAATTTACTTAGTGCAATTGCACTTGTTCATTTGCCTTGACAGTTTCTCATTGTGATTTTCAAATATTGATGCTTTCACTTCGTACCCCACGCTCTTGCCATTATTTTATTTTTACGATTCACTTGTTACTTATACCACAGGTTGAACAACACGGTGGACGGTCGCCTTTTAATTGGTCCCCATACACTATATGCAAATAGTGGAAATACATATGTACATATGTATGTACATAAATATGCCGGCATTTTTTCAAGTACTTTTAACTTTTTCACCCATGTTTATGTTATAATTCTTTTTCTGACTATTTATGTGGTTTGGTAAATATAAATATATTAAATATTGGCAAGTTTACTTATTATCAATGCTCCATTTACGCTTTATTTTTTTTTTATTAAATTGTTTACACATATGGAAATGTTTTAGTTTTTTTTTTTTAAATATATTTCATGCATTGCATGTTTGCACGACCTTGAGATGCATATATGTAAAAACTTACATAAGCACATATATGTATATGCATTTATTACCACGTACGACTAGCAATAATCGTAGAGCTGCACACAAAAAGTACATTTCGTTGTAATACTTTTGTTTATGTAATTAAAAGCTATTCAAGTATTGTACTTATAATTAGACATACTATGTGAAGCGCTAAGGTATGCATAACCAAAAAATAAGGTGACATTTGAATTTAAACTGCGCGCGTCGAATTATTTGGAGAATTTTTTTTTAGGTTGGTAGTACTGTTGTGTTGTCAGTTACATTTATGTCAAATTTCATGACAAAATATTCATTAGTGTTTGAGATTCTTGTCGTTTTGTGAGCTACTAAAAGTGAGTTTTTCGTTTTTTGCGATGTCGAAATTTGTTGAGCAAAGAATTTGCATTAAATGATCATTTTGCCAAAAACTGAACCCATATCGTTCCGCAACCACCGTATTCACCTGATCTGACGCCGTGCGACTTCTGGCTGTTCACCAAGCTCAAAAGCCGCAGCGAAGATGGAACTGAAGGCCACCCGGAAAGTGACTACAACCAGTGTTTCGAAGATTGGAAAATCCATTGGCATAATGTACTGCATCTAGTGGGGATTATATTGAAGGGGATGAAATTGATTTGGAAGAATAACTAAAGAATTTTCAAAATAAATACAATGTTATTTTTTGGACACAGTATATATGTATGTACATGTATGTAAATATATGCATCCATCCGGTCATCAGTCCGCCGCTCTCTTCCCTTGTTGTTATATATATTTTCATAGCAAAATACATGTTTTTGTGCAGTAATAATGAAACAGTTAAATTACATTTAAAATACTTCTATTTTACACATCAAAAATCAGTCGTGAAAATGACTTTGTATTCGCTCAATAAACAAA